ACTAACTCTTTCATTCACGGAAGATCTTGGACTCTTTTTAGCGCAGTGAAAACTAGTTGTCTCAATCGACTTTCCCCTGTCATGTATCGATATTTCTTCTCTTAGTAGTTGATTTAGAGCGTGACGAGACAACCAGTTGGTTTAGTTGGAGTTGGTTTCTCCCTTCAAGGAAGGCTAAGCAGCTTTTACTTTATTTTTTTCTACTTTTGTACCCTTTTCTTGGATTTTCTTTTTATTTTATAATTTGAATTTGAATTTTTAAGAAATAAAGGCTTCACCGCATCTTAAAAAAAAAAAAAAAAAATCTTTAATAAGTTATTTTTATAATTACTTTGTAATTTATTATAATTAAAAAGTTAAATTTTAAATTATAAACATTTTTTGCAATTACATTGTTCAACAAATTAATTTTAATTTTTTTTATTTATTCAATTATTTCAAAGAAATATTTAAGCACTTTTGATATAGGAAATTGACTTTTATTGCACAAGTAAAATTGCTCAGCGGATTCGAAAATATGTGCATATAAATTTTATTATAATTGGATTAATAGTTATAAAGTTATAAATGTTTTTTGTAATTGTATTATCTCATGAAATATGTTTATTTTTTTATTTGTTTAGTGACTTTAAAGAGCAATTTAAGCATTTTAGTAAAAGGAAATCAACTTTGATCACATAAGTAAGTTGTTTAGCAAGTTTAAAATATGTGTATATAAATTTTTATTATAATTGGATTAATAGTTGTAAAGTTATGAATGATTTTCATGATTGTATTATCTCACAAAATATGTTTATTTTTTTGTATTCATTTATGACTTTAAAGAGCAAATTAAGCAATTTGGTCAAAAGAAATCAACTTTGATCACATAAGTAAAGTTATTCAGCAAGTTCCAAAATATGTGTATATAAAATTTTATTATGATCAGATTAATAGTTGTAAAGTTATAAATGCTTTTTATAATTATATTAGCAGTCACCTAATTTATAACTTGTAATTTTAAATTGCAATTAAAATAATTATATTAGTATTTTTTTTTTGAAAAATAATCAAATGTAAAAATATATTAATATTTTTTTATATTTTTTTTTAAAAAAAAATATTAAACAAAATTAATAATTGTTTAGTTTTCTTTTTTAGACAAGTCAGGTCAAATCAGAGTCAAATGTATATTTAATTCAGGTCAATTTTATGTCTGACCCAACCAGACCTTATCAGATTAGGTCAAATCAATTATCTGACCTAATCTGATCTGTTTGGAGTTCTAGATACATGTAATAAAAAGTTATGAATAGGCTTTTTTAAATCTAAAGTACCTTTATTTGTCATAATTAAAGATAAGCACTATAAATAAATAAAATATGATAGGACCTACATGACTCAAATGATTAACAAATCTGACATATCTGACATTTCTGACATTTCTGACATATATGATATATTTGACATGATCGATAAATAAGATATATTAAATAGATTTGACATATATAACATATCAGACATATTTAACATATACGATATACTGTATTAGACATATTAGTTATATCTTTCTATATACTGTATTTTATATAAATAGATAGCTTTTTAAACTATGTAAAAAGTAGGATTTGATAAATCAGTTTTCTAGTAGTTTTCAGAGGTAAACAGGCCTATCGTATTATACTTTAGTTTAATACTTCATTTCTTTATTTTCTTTTCTTTTCTCTTGTCATATCTTTTATTCTCTTTATTTCTATTTTTTATTTCATCAATAAACATCTTACTTGAAAATATAATTACTCAATACCTTTTGAACTGTTAATTGTCAAACACTCATATAAACCTTTATCTGAATTTAATCATAATAATAACTTTGTAAAAGCCTTAAGATTACTGTGCAATTAAAAAGATATAATACTCTGACACCCCATCTAACAGTTGTAATTCACAAGAATTACACATTAATAACATCATAATTAAAAAAATGTCATAATTGAGTTGCAACTTGTGATGCAATTAAATTTCCTTATGGTGCAATTAAGTTAAACTCAATTGAAATTTAAAAATAATTATGGAGGCCATCTTTAGTCATAATTTTGAAGTTATGACTCTCATCTGTTTATGGAAGTAGTGAGTAAATTTATGTCTGATAAGTTAGAATGCATTCCAAAAAATATTTGAAAAATGTAAAATTATAGATGTTAGCTAGCTCTGATTTCTAGCCAGATTCTTCATAAGAATATTCAGATACATAGTTGTACCTTCCTTACAATACTAAATTGATTTCTGGCTGGTCTACATAACGTACTTACAAAACTTGCACTATCAAGTGTTTCCCTCCATAATTTTACATCATCATCCATTTTTTTTGATTTGCTACATATGATACGTAATGATTCGGTGTACATTAACTCAATAATCTTTTCATCTTGTTTCAGCAACCCCATAACATCAGGTTTCTTCCACATCCTCTCTTCATTTATTCTAAGATTTTGCATCATTTTTTATTTACCTATAGTATTTTGCAGGAAAAAATCACGTGCATATTCCAAAATAGAACGCTGATCACTTTTGTCTTAAATCGACAATCACAAATGATGTAAGCTGGCAGTTGTATATAGTAATTTCTGATGAAGCAAAATGGACTTACAATGCGTTTTTTATTGAAAATAATAATGTATTGTGCAACATCCATATGCTATTATCCTACTTTAGCCAATAAATTAATTTTATTCTGCGCAATTGATTAGTGTTGCGTGTTTAGACCTAGTATAGTGTTACAATTTTACATCATTACAGTAATATGTATTTGTTAGTTCGTTTAACTCGTGTATGCTACATGCGAATAGTATTTTTGTGCATCAAATATTAAATAAAGAAAAACATAAGCTATAACGTAAAAAAACAAACTAGTTTCAAATCAATGATGGTAATTTCGAAGGTGATCCACACGGATATGGCGACTTAGGAGATGAAGGTTTATTTCTATTTTTCACATTCTTTTTCTTTTCTGGTGTATCCTGCACAGAAGTTGTATTGATATGATTGGGTCTAGTCACGACTTTTATTAATTGCTTTAATTGTTAACAACATGTCAACCTGTAATAACAAAGTCAGTTATTATTAGTATTTGATAAGAGCATATGTGGTGAACATTTCTAATCCGTACTTGAAAGTTCATTAAATCAACCATGAATTTTGCAAATTGTTCAAAATCGTCGAATGATACTGGTATTTTAATAATTGTGAATGTTTGAAGGATGTGTATCGATGGTAGAGGACGAATCAAATACTTGATCTTAATCAAACCATCTATAAAATATGAAATATATATGAGACACTAAACTTTTTAATACTAACATCTAATCAAATACTTACTGGCAAATTGTACCAAATAAATGCGTGCTTTGTCTTTAGGTACATTCTGTAATAGGTTATTCAGAATTCGCATAGAATTTCTACAAAATTAACCTCATCACCTTCTTCTTTGATAAAGGTGCTCATCTGCCATATGAGAACTCGATAGAATTATAGCTTGATTATTTTTTGTCTTGATGAGTCCGTCAATTTTGTGATGTTTTGTATGGGGGTTGTTAACTCAATCCTAAATAAAACAAAAAGTAAATTAACAAATTAGCTTTATTATTTTGAATTTTACAAATTGATACTTATCATACAAGTTCGACCACATCTTGATGCATACGGAATAATCTATTTATAATATATATTGTTATATCTATTGAATAAGTTCTTTCATAATCAAGGCTTTTGTTTTCAATTCTTGTTGGTGCTTCAAGTCACTCAGAACTATTTATAAAAAAATTATTTAACCTTTCAAATAAATCCTTATAAATGTATTAAAATCCGTTGTGCAATGTCATGACCCTCGTGATGAAAGGAATTGAATAATTCAATTGGAATTACAAAAGACTTGTTGACCATATATGGAATGGTTACTCTATCACAAATATCTTCGGTGAATTAATTTACGTATTTCTTAAATTCGTCTGGTTTTTCCAGGATTTTTGTTTGAGAACTATATTGAGCCATTCAATTTGTCTTTCGTCCAAGAATTTATTAACTCTTTTGGACACCTTATCATTGGATAGATCAATAATATTGTTAAGTGATATAGATGACATATAATCTTTTCCAGACTTTTTATCTTTTTCTTTTCATGCAGACAAAATAGCGAGTAATTTATTGCGATGTCCATTTCGTCCTAGAAAATTAAATAGAAATGAACATACAATTAAAAAGCAATAAACCTAGCAAATAATAAAATACCTGCGTAAGCTTTCTGATTTCTTCTTCATTTTGATCTATGTCAATTATTCTATCTCGCCTTCTTCTGGATGTGGCTTGTTGTCAAATGAAGCAGATTTGAAGGAATCTCGTGCAGTTTCAATTGAACTTGATGATGATGAATTATCTTTCGAAAAATCAGAACTCTCAGCTAAATCAATGGTTCCATTATTGCTGATGAATGGATCATCAATATCTTTCTCGCTGATGGTTTTGGTCTGTTCATACAAGAAATTTTTTTGAAAATTAATCCTTATCATAGGTTGCATTTTATACACAGAAACATCTGATTTTTTATCCTGCAGATATAATAAAGTCATTAAAAAATGCTCATCACAAAATTCAAAGTACCAAAAGTTTATTGTTATATTCTAACCTTCTTTGATAATGATAGATTTTATTTTGCTTTTGTTGACGGAATAGGTATAGGTTAGAAATCATCATCATCAGACTAAATACATGAAGAAAGAGTTAGTTTCTATTAGAAAATCACTGTTCTGTCGATTCTAAACTTTTAAATAAAATAAAATGCATACTTCTTCATAATCCCTTTTGGATATAGTTGATCCAGAAGAGAAAATTCCATTTTTGTTCATACTTATAAGCCCGTTAAACCTGCTGATATTCTCACAGGTAATTGTTGGTTGGTGGAGATGAACCTTGTTGTGAGATCTTTCATTATTCCAACTTTTTGCAATTTGACGGTCGTTTTCATATAAAGGAACAATATCTGCTGGATCAGCTAGAAGCCTTTAGACACTAGAACGACCTAGAAAGTCGCCCATGTCCCAGCAGGGCCAGTGTTAGGTAAGCTAGAAATTTGAACGCAGAACAGGATAGAACGACCTAAAAAGTCATTCTAACAACCTAGAAAGTCACCCTAACAACCTAGAAAGTACCCCACGCCCTAACAAGGCCGGTATCAAGAACTAGGGTTGGTAAAAGTCCTAATTGGTCCTAATTGGTCTTGATTAATTTTAAAAAAAATTATTAGTTATAAAGATTAAATTTTTTTAAATATTATCATTATATTCAATTTTTTAATTAAAGTTACTTA